TTTTTTTTGTCTTTTATGCTGTATTTTACCTTACTTTTTCTAAGTTTAGATGTACAAATACTTACCATTGTATTGTAGTTGCCCACAGTACTCAGTGCCTACAGTACGCAGTGTGACCTGCTGTACAGGTTTGTTGCCTAGGAGCAATAGGCTATACCATATAGCCCAGGTGTATAGGAGGCTGTGCTCTCCAGGTTTGCATAAGTACACTCTACAGTGTTTGCAAAATGACTAAATCACCTAATGATTTCTCAGAATATATCCTTGTTAAGGCAACATTTGACTGTATATGACAATCTTTAACCATGTGTTTTCCTTGGCCCTCCAATAACAGTGATAGAACCCTTGAAGCTGCATTCCCCAATCAGTCCTGTAACACCACTGTGTAGGACTTTCAGTCATGTTCCTCTATCCCAGGACCCAGTCCCCATGTCAGTCATCAGGTAACTGGTCTAAGGTCCTTTAGCCACATAGTCTAAACAGTTCTCCTGTCTCAGGGCTTAAAGTATTTAACCCTATGTAAATATTCTTAACTATACTTGCTCTACTGTGTGGCTTTGCTCAAAGTAAGTGGCCTTCAAGGTAAAGATCATCTCAAGGGTGCAACTGTAAGACCCCTTTTTAAGACTTCAGAAATATTTAAGTGTGTGGCTCCTAGACTATACACAAAATGGTTCCAAATTTTAAGGGAATCATCCCATAGCACCTTGACACTCAACCCAGGGGCTTGTCTTAAAGAGCTTTGTGGATATGGTTTTTGTCTAATGGAATGAGCTTCAATAAGAAGCATAGAGAACCCATAACATTTGTAACAGAAACACTAGCTTGCCTTGAAAAGGACAGAAAAGCCCCTACCTCTTTCTTTGGGCAGGGAGGCAGGCTGAGAAACCTACTAAGCTGCAGGCATAGGCCATTTCTCATGGAAAAGGAAGAATAACTTGGACTGCAGACATCATGGAGAATCACTCTCAGGGATACTGGTGGCATATGCCCAGCTAAACTGCTGAATTTCTAAGAACCATTACCCGCTAGTTCCCCATTTTTTAATAGAAGCACTTTTCAAGGATAGTTATCTCTGAATCAACACTGGGTGTTAGATATGCTTCTATGGTTCACAGGTCTTCGGATAAAGCATCATCTACACCTTGACGTGATTTAGAGAATGAGATCCTGATCTTTGAGCCAAAGCCATAGTGGGATAAGACTTTGGGGGCATCTTTGGAGGGATGGGTATATATTTCACATGGAATGGACGTGTTACCTTCCCATGTATCTGGGCTGGTCTTAGTGACTTGCTTCATTAAGAGGGTGTAGCAGAAGTGATATAATGGGACTTCTGAGACTAGTTCATAAGAAGCCTTACAGCTTCTACTCTTTGAGCCCTGCTGCCATGCTGTGAAAACTTCTAGTCACATGGAGAGGCCTCATAGAGGTGCTCTCGTAATCAGCCGTAGCTGAGCTAGCCAACAGTGAGCCTCAACTCCAGGCATGTGGGAGCGCTACTTTGGATGCCGTGTCCTGTCAGGCCTTTCAGATGACAAACCCTAGCCAACATCTGCAACCAATTGAGGGACTTCAAGTGAGGACCTTTCCACTGAGCTCAATCAACCAGAACTGAGGCTTGGTACAGTAGTTGTTTTAAGCCTCAAATTTTAGGATTGTCTGTTATACAGCAGTAGATCATTGAAACACCTTTATAACCCAGGACTGACTTTCTAACTGATTCAAAATCTCAAAGTCATAATGAAAAAGGTCAAATTAGTCTACACAAAAATAAATTCTACAAGGCAATTCACACAGCCAAAACAAAAGACAAACTTGGTGGAGCGGGGATTCTGTCTTTCCTATCTGCATACCATTAGAAATGAAGTTTTAAAAATCAACAACACAATAGAAGATACTAAAAAATACAAGGACAGATCACAGCATAGGAAGAGAAGTCTTCTTTCATTCGAAAATATCCTTGACATCAGTAAAGATCCAAATGAAAACCACACATAGAGATTTGCACCTGCCAGATTAGCAGAGACTACAAATTTGAACATAGTATTGTAGACGGTAGAAACAGGCATACATATACGTTAGTCTTGGGAATCTAAATTGGCACAAGTCTTCTGGTGGACAACTTGGTAATATCTTTCAAAATTTAAAATTCGTATTCCCTTTGAGCTCAAAATCTCAATGGAATTTATTCAGTAGCTGCACATGTTCATGTACAAAATGATTTAGATAAGTTTTCAATGCAGTAGTGACTAATTTCAAATTTTAGCAAAGAAAAACATGTTCAGTAGAGGAACTGATTAAATAAAAATCATGCACAAAACAATAATACTGTCATAACAATGAATGAGAAACATCACTATGTACTTATATGAAAGAATCTCCAAGATTAGTCAGTGGGAGTAGGGATGGGACACACAGTCTGAGAACACTGTGTCCAGGGTGCTAAGTGTTAGGTTAAAAAGAGGCAATCAGGTCGGGCACAGTGGTTCACGCCTATAATCCCAGCACTTTGGGAGGCCGAGGTGGGCAGAACATGAGGTCAGGCGTTCAAGACCAGCCTGGCCAACATGGTGAAACCCCATCTCTACTAAAAATACAAAAATCAGCTAGGTGTGGTGGCATGCGCCTGTAGTCCCTGCTACTTGGGAGGCTGAGGCAGAAGAATTGCTTGAACCTGGGAGGCAGAGTTTACAATGAGCCAAGATCATGCCACTGCACTCCAGTCTGCGCAACAGAGTGAGATTCCATCTCAAAAAAATAAAAAGAGGCTTTTTTTAAATTTGGAGAACTTATACTTCCGAATTTCAAAACTTAGTATGTAGCTCCAGTAGTTAAATAATCAGTGGAGTTTTTTTTTTTTTTTTTAAATATAAGCCCAACAGCAGAATTTTCTTCTAAAATGGCCCACAAAGACAATTTGCATTCAAATTTGCATAAGTAAGATTTCCTGGATGTAATACCATACTCTATTTTTCTTCCAAAATGGCCTTGAAAACAGGATTATTTTCTATCCAAACTCACTAAGTCTTATGGGTGTTTAGAAATAATTCTTATGCCGGGTTTTTCTAAAATGACCCACAAATGTAACTTTTCATGTAAATTTGCTCAAGTTTTTAGGACATGTGGTCATAAATTCTATGCTACATTATTTTACAAAGTTGCTCAGAAATAAATACACTTTTCATTCAAATTCATTCAAATCATGGGTTTTAGGGTACACAAATTCTTTGCCGAATTTCTCCCGAAATGAAGAATAAACACATGTTTTAAAAATCAAAATTTATATAATTAGTAGTTTTTTGGGGAATTAACTCATATGCTGCATATTTTTCCTCAGATCCCCTGGAAATGTGATATTTTCATCCAAATCTGCTCAAATTTGGAGGCCTATTGGAACTAAGTTCTACACCAGATTTTCCTTTTAAAATATGCAGAAAATATTATTTCTCATCCAAATTTACTGAAATCTTAGGATCTTTGGATCTAAATCATGTGTAAGACTTTTCTTCTAAATGGCC